AGGCTGCTCGCCGGCAGGCGCCGCGCCGAACGTGGGGAGTTTCCGAGCCACGCTTTGGGGAACGTCTGAAAAGCGGTGGCTTTCCCCAACCTCGGCGGCCGGAGCTCTTTTGCTCAGCCCTCCAGGGCTACGTTCCATTTTCTCCTTGCCTTGGGTGGCTCCTACTGCCTTGGCAGTTTAAAAAGCTTCTCGGGTGCCATCCGGCGCTCAGATACACCCCCCCCGGAGTTGCCCCCTTCCTCCACCTTTTAAAAACTTTATACTGTAACTGCGCCTCGCCACTTTTGCGCACTCAAAGAACCTCTTAGAACCATAGGCGAGATCAAGTAGCTAGGAGCAGACCCTTTGAGGCTCTTGGGTGGGGTGGGGAGAGAGGCTGCTTCCCAGGCACAGTTATTCCCCCCCTTTTGTCCGTAATAGGCTAGCCTTTGGCAAAGACCACCTGTGAGCAGACTCTTCTATTCCCTTTCTCCCACCATGTGGGTCATAAACACCATTTTCCTTTTGACCATCCATTTAGTTATTTCCTTACTCCTGAATGTCTTCTGTTTTTCTGCATTTCAACCTCTGAATTACTATATTAGAGGGTTTTTTTAAAGCACGCATGGAAACTGTAGTTGGTGGTTCTGGGTTGTGTTCCAAACATAAATCTTAAATAGAACTGTATTCCCCTCCCCCCACTTAATCAAATACATTTGAACTTAATTTGGAGCTTCAATGTGATGAGTTGCGGGTGTGTATATATGGACTTCAAGTATGAAGGGTTTAATTGCTGCATGTGTTCAGCATATGGAACCCAGCCCTAACAGCAGGAACGCAGCACAGCATAGGAGCGTCCCTTAATCCAGTTGTTTCACATCCTGTAGTAAATGCTGTGCCTGTATTTTCCTTTGTCTTTGGGTCTATACATTGTGGATTGTTTGTCTGATATTCCCATTATGGCAGATTTTTACATTCCATTGGTTACTGTTTGCAGGGCATCTGCGCCAGAAAATGATTGTCCCTTGAAATGTCAAACTATTTTGTAACTCTGGTTTGAAATAGCATGGACGCAGAACTTTCAACCTCATGTCATCAGTAAACACCAAAACTCTTGCTGGGTCAACACTACTTCAGCAATTGCCTTGCCTTTGACAGGTGTTCTCACTTAAATTGTCCCTGAACTTCAAATCACAGTTTGATCATGGTGCTTCATTGTTAATGGGGTTGTCCTCCATGAGTTGCTGTAATCTACCACTAATCTAGGTTTTTTTTTCTGTGGCAGGAGTTCAGCATTATGTCTGGTGATGGTGATTTGTATGACTAAATGTGTTCTTGCACTTTCTAACATTTCAGAAAGCTGAGCGGAAACAGATCTAGCTTGCATTTGGATGGAAGACTACTCAAAAATGCTAGAGCTGTTAGTAGGCTAGACTGAGTTGTTAAAATAAACTTCCAGGAGCAGTGTTTCTCTACCTTGGTAACTTTTAAGATGTCAGGACTTCAACTCCCATAATGCTGGCTGGGGAATTATGGGAATGCTGTCCTGGAGGAAGGAAAAAAACTATTTCCATATTGTAGCCATGAACTCACCAAGGGTCAAGTTCACCTGAAAGGTGGCTCTAGTTGATCATTGCATGAAATTGAATTTTCCATTTTAGAATGACCTCCATTGGTACAGCTTAGTCTCTCTTAAGAAAATGATTCTTTATCTCTTTCGCCTTTAAACAAATAACCCTTATTTTTTTTTATCCCTACCTCTGGTTCCCCCCCCAAGTAAAATATGCCTATATTAGCAAAAGTCAAAATGACAAGAGTCCACTTGTCCTTTAAAAAGCAAAAGTTATAAATTCTCCTTCAGGAGAATTTTTTTATTAACAGTTACAATGGTTTTGTTCCAGGTTATGCCTGTTTGCGTTAAAGAAGTGATATAGGAGTATTTTTAACTACTGGTTTCAATCACGGAAGCAGAGAAAATGGTTCTAGGTTCATACTCTATTTTATTTTGCTTTTTTAAAGCTTGCATCTTTGATGTCCTTTCACCCTATCCAGCACATCCCTTGGTTGTTCTTGATGGGAGAGGATCTGAATTGTAGCTGTGTACACACACGTACAACACACAGACCCAGAAGAGAGCCACAGGAAAGGAAAGACTCAGCTAAAACCCTCATGTATTAAAGCCACACTTGGTTATCTATGGAAGAATCAGAACTGCTAGGCATAGATTTGCTCATGAATGTCATCTCTACTTGCAAGGGTTTTTTTTTTTTAAACTGCAAACATGATTGCTTAGAGGAAGCAGATGCACAGAGAGGAAGTGAATTAATTCATATGCAGAATACTATACAAGCATAAAACCGTCAGGAACTTCTGAAGCTGAGCTATAGAGACAAAACCGTTGAATTGTGTTTTGTGTTCTTTTGAAACTTCACTTCTTCTCTTTGCTGGCAAACTTTCCTTCGTAACAGCTTTAATTTACTTCGCTAAATTGGAAGTGCTAACTTTCAACTGGAGTTAACTTTGGCCCATTTTGTATCTTAGCAGCTTCAAGAATGGCTAATTTTAGAGAGCTGAACCTGCAGAAAATGTACAGATACTTTACAAGAAGAAGAAAAAAAGCCTGTTGACAGGTGCAGGATGGAGTGCTTTGATCATGCTGAGAACTCCACATTATAAGGAAATTTAGTCTGATAGCCTAATATTGTGTGAAGTACATATACATGAATTGGGTTTTTATCTAATTCAGTTGCCCTGAGCATAGCGTGGCTGATTTAGGTAAACATCAGCAATGTTTTTATTTTTAGTGTCATGCATATAAGGTATCCAGTGTTTGTTAGAACGTGGCATTGTCTTACAGAGCTGGATACAGGGTATTGTAAACCACTTGTATAAAGAGGGTGTTCAAAGGTTGGAGGGAACATCTTAGGAATGCAATCAGGTCTCCCACAGAACTCGCTGAAATGGGCTTGAGATGCATCACAGGTTAAATGATGTATTTACTATATTGGTATAGGTTAATGAAAGCTGATATCTCAGGTTTGTCCTAGTTTAGGCTTGCACAAATGGATGTTGAGTCCAACATTCCATTTCCTGTTCTAACTCTTATTTGATATTCAACAGGGACAATAAATAATTTGACCTAAATGTAGAATTTCTTTGAAAGTTCTTGAGAAGCACAGTGTCAGGAAGATCTGTTACAGTGATTATAGTTGGAAAATGATTATTTTTGGCATTATCAAAGGTGTGGCATAAAATCTCTTCCAGTGGAAACATACTCGCTGTACTCCTATGTAAGCTTGCAGTTAAAACTTACATTAAAATCAGTGGGTACTTTATCCTGGACCCAAATATGAACTAATATAAGATATACTAGATAGAAGGAACTTGATTCAAGGTTCAGTGCAGGTCTGCTGAGCAGCAGAAGGTCTGTATTAATGAATAACTTAAGTGCAGTCT